CAAACAATTTTCTTGTTACCTTCCAGTTCCATATTCCCTCATCTTTGTGAATCGAAGTGGAACCTTCTGTGAGGTCTAAAAATATAACATAACAATCATAGAGAGTTGTGCAAATCAGCAATTTTGGCAAGAGAGTAAGTCAGTTGAGTAGAGTAGAGTGTATTACTACACACTCAGGTACATTAAATAACCTGGGAAACTTGACATCATTGGTGAAATTGTGTAACAAAATGTGATCTTCACAGTGAAAGAATAATCTAAAGTTATTATTAAGTTATTATTAATAAATCGCCAAAAAAAATTTRGGCTGCCGATGCAGTGCTCTGACGACCAACTGAGCTATGAAGACAACTATGTTCTTGGCAAGTGGTCATTATGGGTGAACCCATACATATTAGATATATTAATAAATGTTGAAGTGCTGGTAAAATTGCCAGTGGTTGAATTGTCCTAAAAATATTTTTAGCTTTAACTAATTTAACAAAAAATTGTCTTTTTTTAATACAAAATATTGAAGTACTTACAGATCCTCTAAGTAGTAATACCACCATTGTAACTCCATATTTGCCATTTCCTGTTGCCTAAAAAAAACAAATAACAATAGCCCTTCTTTGACCAACAGATTTATTATTGTTAATGCTCAGGTTTTTACCTTCACGGCAGAGCAAAGTTGCTTGGCTTCTTCAGTGTAATCCTTCTTAWTTGATTTAGAGGAAGGGTTCCTTAAGCTATAGAAAAAAACAACGATGAGTTTACGGCAACATCTTTGATACTTCATTTTTATCTTTTTGATATTTCACTTCCAGCTTCGGCAATGATTGCTATATAATATAATAAATATCTACAATGTATTTACATGTTTCTGCAATTATCACAGCATTTCCATGTTCCTCCRATATTCTGAAGTTTGCTAGGATCCTCAAAGTATGCCAAGACTTTCCTGTTAAGCAAAATAATCTCAGTATATTAATATTGAAGTACAATAAATRTGCAAGCAGGTAGAGAACATTATTACAAGATTAACTGTAATGTTCAAAATAACTGCTTCTTAACCTGTCTCATTTTTTATTGCTGTTGCTATTGATCTGCTTGTTTACACATGGTCAATGGTTGTTTTTGTTGTTTGTTACTTTGTTTTCTTAATATAATATTCCTTTCTTTACTTCCCTTCCCCTCTGCTTCAACCAATACTTGCTTATCATTTTCTGCCTGTTTGTTTGCTTGTTTGTCATTATGCTTGACTATTCCGTAAAACCTTTCTTGTTTGTTTACTTGCAGGATGTTGCTTAGTCTTCTTCACTGGTCATGACTATTTTTATTTTAAGATTGTTTAATGTTTGTTTCCTTTTCATGTGTAATTTTTGTGTGGGTTCAACGAGTAGCATTATAGTTAGTAACATACCTTCGTCTACACTCCGATGTGTTTAGAAATTGGTCTAGTTTGTTGAGCATCTCTAATTTATGGCTCCTTAGCTTTTCTGATCCAATTTCGTTTATAAGGTGTCTAGAAAATACATGGAGACATCATTGATCAGTCATTCAAAAAGTCAGGTCGGGAGTACACCATCGGTCTCAATTGAATTCTATCATTTTTCTAAGCACTTCTCCTTTCTCTTAAAGGTGGATTTACATGGTACAATTGTCACAYGTGACTTATAGTACACCATCAATTTTTATTTTTCCCATGCGGCAAGTCATAGGAATTTGAGCCGTGGTTCAAAATCCTACAGAACTACAAATCATTGGAGTCATATACTACAAGTCGCATGTGACAATTGTACCACATAAATCTGCAAAATTTAGCAGAAAATATAATTAAATACTTATTAACAGTGTTGTGCACTCAACTATACCTTGATACAGCAAAGTCTCCTGATTTATAAAATACATGGCATGTGCTTTCTTCCCTAAAATTCATGCASAATGTAAGCTTGCTATTTATGCATAATAGAGCTGATTCCTGATACCTGTACTTCATTTACTAGCTTGTATAACAACAGCATATTGTCACCAAATTTACTGTATGATTTACTAACAGTGGGAAACAGTATAATTGCAACACTAAAATTTATTGTATTTAAGAGGTATGAAGTTATCCTTTAGCAGCATAATGCATATTATATCATAAGGATAGCATCAAGGAGATGAAGCCTTAGGCAGCTATTTGTAACATCTGATGCTGCTGAAGACAGAGAAAGCTTGGAATCACTGACTTTATATAACTAGACCTTACCAATAGCAACCAAGGCATCATTTCATAACTATCCTATCATTTTCAAGAAATTCTTTAAATAAATCATAAATGAAATTCAGATTACCCATCTCTTCCAGCCCTTCCTATCTCTTGGTAATATGACTCAATATCCTTAGGAGCTAAAGTAAGACAATAATTGTATATTAAATGTATTTATTAGTTATTATTTCAGGGCTCCCATTGATACATGTTGCAAGTAGCCCTTTGGGACCTGATGGAGTTACCCTAAGTTTTTAAATTTATGGTTATACTATCTATTATTGCAATTTATAACTGACAGTATTTCATATTTGCAATCACATATAATGAACTAAATGTCTCCATGTTTGCATTGCTACAGCAGAGACAAAGTCAAGACTTGCAATTCAAGTCGAGAGGGCCACAAGATCAGAGTAACTTGGTATAAACTTCATGTACCTACCTCCATAATGAATAACTCTTCGTACATCAGGTTTATCAATTCCCATACCGAAGGCAACTGTAGCTACRACACACTATAAGAAAAATAGGATTTTATTCGAGCTTACATTGTATAAACAACCAACCTCGCAGCTACTTCTAAACAGTAGATAAATGTCAATGAGACTGTGCCAGAAAACATGATAAACAATATTTTTTACAACTATTGCAACAAGAGTGGAGGAAGGCAATACAGACATAATTTTACAATATTTTACAAAGGGGCCAGTTAAGGTCTCAAATATTTTGTCCCCCATTATATAGCTTTTCTTGTCAGAGGGCAATTTTTGATGGCAACATAATTATGGACGTAATATATAGCTTGCATACTGCCTGTGCTTAGCGTAAATAAAAATACTTTATTGGATTCGATTTTGGCTAAAAGACATTGAATTTACAAACAACAGTAATTGTAAAAGTAGTAATAAATAATAAATGKTGCTAAAATATGTACAATATATTGAAAAATATGGGCTGAATTTTATGCACATTGAGCCTGGCTATGCATTTATACTCTCTTAGATCCAAAAKATTTAGAGTACCTGCTTTTGAAGCAAACTACTCAGAAACAAAATGTGTTTACTTATGAGAAGTGATTACCTCAATTTCATCATTAGTGAACTTTGTTTGAGCTTTCTTTCTTGCCGATAATGCTAATCCAGCATGATAAACAAGACAAGAGACACCACATGCTATAAACAACAAGTGAATTATAATTTAATGTACAAAATGCCTTTGGAATTTCATACAAAAAACACCTCAGTAAATATGCTTATTAAACTCATTAATATTCATAAGGCAAAACTTCTTTCAGCTCGCTGTTTTAAATCCTCATACAGATCGCCCGCTCATATTGTATATATTACATAAAACTGTTAAAAGAGCAAAATAATGGAATACTAAGAAATACACACAGATGCATGCATTTATCAATCAGTACCTGGGTGCCTGGACACAACTGACTGATKTAAATAAAGATACTACAACATGTTTTGRATACAGTACCTGCTACTGCTTCCTGGACAGTTTCAGTAGACTTCTTTGTAGGGCAGTAGATGATGGTAGGGCCRCCAAATGAGAATGATACCTTGTTTGATTGTCTGGAAATACAAAATCAAACAAGCAATCAATTCATGAATAAATGCCTGATTGATGACTTGACTGATTGACAGATGGACAATTGGATTGATAACATTTACAGTACTCCTTACTTGGTCTCGGTAAGAAGTGGCCGTATATCTTCAATAATACTTGATGACTTTGTTTGTACCTCAAAATATAGATTAGGCCTGCAAAATATATTAACTATGAAACCATTGCATGCAACCTGCATAAGTCATCCTAAGTACAACATTGCTACAACTGTCTTAGAGATTTAACATTTGCTTTATTAAAATAGCACCACGACAGCTGTAACCATGTTGTAAGGATACGTAGTTCCAGGCAAATGTTGTGTGGGTCTAATTCAGCCTTAAGCATTACACTACCTGTCAAAGCCAGTACAGACCATTGCTGGTCGATTCAGATTAAGTGATGAGCAGATGTCCTTTCTAACCATCTCAGTAGCTGTTGCTGTCAATGCTACTATCGGAACATTGGGTAACTTATTCCTAATGCAKCCAAGTTGTCTGTAAGATGACCTAAAGTCATGTCCCCACTGCGACACACAATGGGCCTCATCAACAGCAACAAGACTGAGACCTGATGGAGAGATGTTAAACCCTCTTTAAGAAATTCCTCTATTTTAAGGTTATGATGTGTTCCCCATCTGCATTTCAAAACTGCTTTTGTCACTTGTAATTTTGGCAGTCTTTTTGGTTTCAATTCATCAAAGCAGCTGTTTGCTTGTCAGTGTTATTAAATCAATAAAGAGCTTATAGTCTACATTAGAAATTCACTGATTTCCCATACTCACTTCAGGCTAAGCTTAAATGATATGAAACGTTTTTGAACCTGTTTTGTAGTCTATTTCTTCCATAACTATTTTGTCATCTAGCCGTTCAYGACTTACCAACTTCTCTCTTTAGCCTTGCCAGGAATTCTACATTTGCACTGACATACTCAGGTGTCAAATAGATGACCCTGTATTCACCCCTGGTAAAAAAACGTCATTAGATTAATAACAAAAATAATATTGTTCAGGGCAAAAAGTCAGCCAGTCAAAAGACAATGCCTATAACTTGTTTGTGRCCCGTCAACTTGAGCTTTGGGATTGAGATTGTCTTTTAGCTTTTTTTTTCTCTGACATTTCAAACAACATGCCATGCAGATAGCTATAAGTATGAAGGGATTAAAAAATTAATACCTGAAGATTCCAGCTCTTATATTGGCACTGTCAGTCTGTGCACTTCCAAGGTAGCAAGCAGAAATATTATTGACTCTAAAACAGAGAGATGAGTATTATCTTCACAATAATAATCCCTAATAATCTCTTATAATCCCTAATAATCCCTAATAATCTGATGCTCTGTGTCTGACAGATTCAATATTTTTACTTCATGATATGATATGCTTTTGTATGCATTGAAAGACAACCCGGGATTACAGTACGTCACTTAATTTTTGATTAAAATTCTAAACAGGCTCCTGTACAGGGATTTCATGGAGGTGATATTTAACTTATGCAGTTTCAACAATGTGAAGAAAGTGATTGACTGCAAAAATTCACAACTATTGCTTTCCATTCACATCAAACAAACTKATATACTAACAAAAATGTGCTACCCTATTGGTTTAGCAACACACACTTTAAARTCTGCCAAGGAATGGGGATTCAGGAACCCCTGGAACCCTCCTCTACACACACCCCTGCTAACAAATTGAATAATCATCAAATGAATAATCATCACAAAACATCACTAAACTTGGCCTTTTCTACTCACTCTAGCTTTCTGACTTGATCCTGCATGAGTGAAATCAAGGGTGATATCACGACAGCACTACTATGGTTAAATAATGGTGGGAACTGATAGCACAGACTTTTGCCATATCCTGGATTGAATTATTAACAAAAAGAAAGGATCAAATACTATTGTATTACTTTGGGAGAAATGCGGGGCAAAATGAGCTAACCTGTTGCCATGACAACACAAACATCTCTCTTTTGGTTGAGGACCAGATCAATAATCTTCCACTGCATTCTGGGAAATATTTGAAAGCCCATATATTTAATATTCAATGAATGAGTAACTGAACGCATATGGATAGACTTTCACAAAGTCCCTTTTACTCCCCTGGAACAAGGGACAGACTCTCGGGCTCCGCGCTCGTTTTTTTTTTTCTTGCACTTCGCGCTCGGAGTTCTATTCTTTCTTTTTCTGAGTCCAAAGAGAGTCCAACTTGTAGCAAGTCTAGCATACGGATGGATGAATTTAAAAGAATGGAAAGGACAGACAGACAGATAGATAAATAGACGAAGTATGGACGGAGGGACAGACGGATTGATACACAAACAAATGATCATATAAATTAATGAAACAATAGTCTCCTTCACGGTTACATTTGATACTTACGGTCTGAATTTAGAATGTCCAAAATAGTCTTTCAAAACCTTCTTATACCTAGCATCGGGCTCAGCAATGGGAATATCTRRTAACAAATTAAAATTTGAGCAGTTACTTCACTTAATCTGTGAAAAAGTTCATTGACTACTTGTTGGTCGCAGGTCGTATTTATAACTCACTAACAAAAACTTAGAGTTTTCACAGATTAAATGYAATGAATCTAACAGCCAACTCAAAACTAATAGAGCGGATTTCGTATGAGTGGGAAACGGACGGTACTGYACTCTGACCGTAACCGTAACAGTATTGTAAACAAATTCTAGTGCCCGATTGGTTCACCAAAATTGTGCGGGCCAGGTCCAGTAATTGTGCGGTAACCGTGCGGTAACGGTGTCCCACTCATACGAAATCCACTCTAATATAGAGTCAATCAGCAGTCTGGGATTTATACAGAGTAGTCTATAAATTCAAGACCTTTAGCCTGTGTTACATATAAAACCAGATGTAACACAGCCTACCAGATGTTTACATGAGTATAGTGTAGCAGTCATTCAGAGTGTCCAACTTGACATGGGCTTGTTTTAATGGTCCACTTCGCGGATAACACAGCTATTAGAAATTGCGGAGCAAAAATCGAAAAAATATTACCACCACTGGAAAGAACAGTATAAAATTAGTATGTTTACCAGGTTTGAGCATGATTCAATGAAAATTCAAGGAGATACAGCAGTTTAAAAGTCAAAAATTCACATGAGAAATGTATGGGCTGTCGGCATGAGATCGAGGTTGACCTTGACTTGTTACAACCTCGCCAAACATTTCTATGCAAAATTTAGTGTTTTTGAAGCGCTGTATCTCTTTTAATTTAAATCAGGTTATTTTCAAACTTGGCAAATTTGCYGATTTTATGACACTCTTTCCAGTGATGTCCATGATTTACCATAACGACGTAATGTAAAATTTCGAATTATCCGCGAMGTGGACTATTGACATCTTAGTGTTTTCATAAAATGATTGCTCTGTTCTGTATTAAATTTCACATCAAAGAAGATGTACCTTSATTATCTGTCATGATGTTGTGGTTCTCTTTTGAAGATGAGTTGACAGCTTTTTCTTCAGATAAAACATCATGTTTGTTTTTGTTCACATATTTTTCTTCATACTCGCTTATACTTTTGTTGCAAAGTTCTTCAAAATCAACCTGTGTTGATGAAAATAGTATATTGTACATTTTAAGTACCATTTTTGCTAGTACATCATGTACATATTATAATTCATACCATAGTCGAAACTACAAGTACAAACTTGGTTCCTGCTATCATACTTGTCCAGTACAGTAATTTGACAAATATATTTGTCATAAATTTTTCAAGGCATTGGACCTGAAGAAGGTATTAGGTAATTTCACCTTGCGGTAATTTTGCCCCCAATCTTTTCAGGTAATCTCGCTCCCATCAAGGTAATCTCAGCCCCCAGCATTTCTTTATCCAAAGTATTTTCAACCCAGGAAACTTTCTACATTTAATGTAAGATTGTGTTTATTTCTTGCTTTTTCGTTGACAACTATTCTTCACTATGATTTTTTATCATTTTGTTTACTTGTCAATTATATACTAATATGATAATAATAACAATAATAATCATCATCATCATCATCATCATCACCGATAAATATTTATTTTTACCTTGGATAGAACATCATCAAATAGATCATCATCATTCTCATTATCTATTGGATCCATAATATCAGCATCATTATCAGCATCATTATGATCATCATCAATAGGATCTACGGTATCATCATCGCTATCATTTATCACTTGATCTAAGCAACTTGGAGATGGTGGCGAGACGGTAGAAGTATTGTCCTGTGATAGAAAAACATTCATGTATGTCGCAATAAAAAATTAGTCTCCTATTTTCACGGCTCAATGTCCCATCATGAAAGGTGAGTAAATAGACCTATTCCAAAAAATGTTGTCGCCACCAGGACAATGTCCACAGTCTTCAGCCTGCAAAGAATCTTGGGGTTTCCATGTGTAATTAATATATTCAAAACATGTGGTTTGAATTCAAAGGCGGCAAACACTACTAATAATACTATTGCGTTATTAAACCCATTGAACAAGTCTTGCCATGAGACAATTTCCTTGAGAAATATTCCAGGTTTTCAAACGGTCAATGAGCTTCAAATCTATGTTTGCTACAACACCTAGAATTTTGAATAACTCAAAGCGAAAATTTAAATATTCATGGAATCCCGAGATTCTKTGCAGGCTCAAGACTGTGCACTGTCGTGCCCTGGCGACGTTTTTTGAAATAGGAGAATATACCTTCTTTTGCACCCTCAGACATTTATTCACAGATATCTATAAATGTATGCTTAATGGTTGCCTCGATTCTATGCAATGAGTGCTTTCTGCACCCTTTGTGGAGTGCAACCACATAAAGAAAAATCCCCCAGAGAAATAAAGAACAAGGCTGTCGCAAGAGCAAGAAAAAGCGCTGCAAATAAAGAATACGTTATAATATATTCACTTTATAATTGGCATAACCTCGTGTGAGGCGAATAAACCAAGAAATGCCGAAATATGATACCTTAACCACAGCCAAACCTTTCGTTTCATATCACAACTTTGAAATAAAAGGTAAAGGAATTTTGTCGCTATTTAGAGCGACATCAAATATCTTGCTCTACCAGGGAATTCATATTTGTACAACAAACTCAACCCAGACACTCACATCGCCATCTGAGGTCACGTCTTCTTGACAAGGCTGGACAACTTTGCCGTACAATCGATTCACGTTTTCTTCAATTGCATCAATAAGTTCATCTGGTATATGGCTCTCTACTTCTTTCTCGAGGTAGTGCACTACTTGGTTCAAGCGATTTGCAGCGGAAGACAATTTTTCGATTGCATTTTCCAAGCTACTCATCATTTACAACGATGCATTCCAGCCACATTTTATCACTTGGACTTAATTCGCTGCCACAGGAAGACCGGTGTATGCTAGTGGGCTACCTGTGGTTGTGCCAGCAAGATTAGGTGTCCGATTAGGTTTTCTTTGTCTTTGTTGATCTTTTGATCGTTCGTTTCCCGCCATTTTCCTTCTTCTACGTTTTACTGTTTCTCAGCGATGGATAGCGGTGTAAAGCAGTGTAATTTGCTATACAAAAAGGAGTTGGGTCCTTGGATAGAAGAGAAGGTGGCAGTTAAAGATTTTGATCYGAAAAAACTCCRACAAATCCAGAAGATAGCTTGGGCCAAAGATGAAGGAGATATGAATACATTTTCTTGTCAAGACTGGCTTGGAAAACTGGATTACAATCTAGAAGACCCGACTAAGTTATTCAACTTTGTTGATCGCGAGAATAACCTCACAACCTTCAACTTAATTTCACTGCATGCTGATGTCCTGCATGCTTCGRACACTGACTGTCTGACACTAACTGAAAACCCTGACGATCAAGGCTCAAAATGGATCACACCTCGAGTGTATAACATCATTTGGGAAAGCATGAACAACTGTAGATTCCTAGCACACTCGTTTGATGGTCATATATTCGTAATAGACTGGCTGACTAAGACGGGAAGGGTGGTTGGAAAGTGGCCTGTTCCTATTTGTATCGTAAAGTSGGAAGATATAGAATACACAACAAGCGGTCGAATAACCSACGARCATCGAGATACGTCCCTCAGAGGAGCAATATCAACTGATGGCACCAAGGTTGCTCTTATTGATCRTTATGCTTCTTATGATAATGACACTGATGRAYTGTGGGGYCAAGCTCACTATGTATCAGCGAATGRTGATACGTTGGATATTCCAAGTGATGGTCACCCAACAATTGGTAAGCACTTCAAACTCAGATTGTTMAACATCAGCACCAAGCAATGGTGTTCCAGAAAAGTCCCCAGGGATCGGCTTCTATCAATAGAGTCTATCTATAATGGGCAATTGCCTGCTTTGGCCTTTGTGAGCTCAATGACATTTCACCCGATTCGGACAAACCTYGTGTACCTGATGGTCAAAGATGRTTACGAAGATGAATATGGTGATACCTGGGCCATAGTGCTTTATGACATTCAGGAAGAAGAGGAAGAGGGGACAATTTTGGCAACAAGAGGWAGATTGCTAATGGCATCGCATGCAAGCCGCTATTACTTCAATTTTAATAATRAAGATTAYAACACACTTGATGGTCCAACTTTCCTACACCATGGCAACATAATTGTAAGCTTTCATCTTCTCCTAGTGGAATGTGGTGATTTTGGATGCGATTWTGTGGTTTTACTCGATGCATTCAACCTTGATATTTTAGCATCTGTAAAACTACGTCACTCTCTAGCTCCTATWGCATACAATTTTGCTGTTTCGACTTCCCAAAGAGAAATTGCTGTATTCGCAAGAAATGCTAATGATGTTGATGAAGTTGAAGTTTATGAAATACCATTCGAGCCAGACATGTCATTGAAGAASTTGTGCAGAGAGAGAATTCTACAAAGTGTGGGCAAGAACAGAGTTGATATGTTAACAATGCTGCCTTTGATGCTGAGAGAATATTTAAACTTCTGCAAATAAGCTTTTAACACTGTTTGTATATTTAACAAATATATCTCATTTTTCCGTGCGTGTGTACTCTAATAGATACACAGATGACATCAAAATGTAGTGAAAACAAAAAAGTATGCACGAGACGCAGTCGAGTGCGTGACTGTTGTTCTCACTACAATTTGACGTCATCTATTAGATCTATTAGAGTACACACGTACGGAAAAATGAGACCTATCTGTTTTATACAACAAACAATTAGTTTTGACGTAATCCGTGTATCTATACTTTGATAACACACGAAAGCCAACCAATCAAAACGTCTGATTTTACTGAAAAGTTGTATAAATGTATATATAATGTGCTGAAATATCTACCCATYGATTCAAGATAATCATATATTAATTACACTACAATCCTTGTCAAATTTTATACAGTATTTAAACCCAGTTGTATATATAAGCCATTATCAAATTATTTAATGATTCATTAGGTGAACACAATGGGAAACCTTAGCTGTGACTACAATTTTATAGAAGTGATTTGTCATGATTTAAACCTGGCTTAAGCACTGCTTTTCTCTAATATTTAATCTTGAAGTTTTTAGCAAAATATGCTTTTAGCTTATGTTGGAATTTGATAAGCAATATAAAATCTTGTGTCCAACCTTTTTGGCTTTTAAAAATACTCATGCTGGCTTGCAGTTTTAARCTATACATAAAGGTCTCCTGCCCATATATTATTTTGTCCTAATTCATAATATTTTTTATAGATTATATGTGTTATGATATTTAGATTATCAATTAAGTAAATAATTAACTGCATGTAAATTGCATTCAAAGCTGTAAAGTGCATTTTTGTTTTTTATCTGTAATTTAAATTAAGTCTTTTATATTTTTTAACCATTCCTAGGATAATTAATTCATGATTCAACATTGTTRTATATGATTATC